GAGACATTGTCTCGTCTCGCTCTGCCACCCAGGCTGGAGTACAGTGGCGTGATCTTGGCTCACTGAAACCTCTGCCTTCTGGGTTCAAGCGATTCTCCTGCCTCAGCCTGCAGAGAGCTGAGACTACAGGCGTGCATCACCATGCCCAGCTAATTTTTGTATTTTTAGTAGAGATGGGGTTTCGCCGTGCTGGCCAGCCTTATCTCCAACTCCTGACCTCATGTGATCCACCTGTCTCGGTCTCCCAAAGTGCTGAGATTACAGGCTTGAGCCACCATGCCTGGTGCGAATGGAAATGTTCTTTTTTTGAGACATAGTCTTGCTATGTCGCCTACGCTGGAGTGCAGTGGTACAATCTCGGCTCACTGCAACATCTGCCTCCCAGTTCAAGCGATTCTCCTGCCTCAGCCTCCCGAGTAGCTGGGATTACAGGCGCATCCCACCATGCCCAGGTAATTTTTTGTATTTCTAGTAGAGACGGGTTTCACCGTATTAGCCAGGATGGTCTCAATCTCTTGACCTCGTGATCTGCCTGCCTCTGCCTCCCAAAGTGCTGGAATTACAGGCGTGAGCCACCACGCCAGGCTGCTAATGGACATTTACAGCATATTTAGAAAAATGTTTTATACCGCTGGGCACAGTGGCGCATGCCTATAATTCCAGCATTTTGGAAGGCCGAGATGGAAGGATCACTTGAGACCAGGAGTTTGAGACCAGCTTGGGTAACAGAGGAGACCCCATCTTTGCAAAAAATCTAAAGATTAGCTGAGCATGGTGGTACACGTTTATAGTCTCAGCTACTCGAGAGGCTGAGGCGGGAGGATCACTTGAGCCTGAGATGTTGAGGTTGCAGTAAGCCTTGACTGTGCCAGTGCTCTCCAGCCTGGGGGACACAGCAAGACTTGTCTCTTAAAAAAAAAAAAGTTTTACAACTAAAACACACCTTTTTCTTGGACTTAGGCTGGTTCAGAGTGTACAGCATTTTACCAAGTCAAACGATGACTTGATGAGGCTGAGTCACTCCATGTAAGAGCTGGTATAATCCAGCTACCTCACTTAAGGGATGCAGCAATTATGAGCAGAGACATTGAGTTTTCTCTAGAGCGGTGGTTGGTTCCTCATGGGGGTGGTACTGCCCTCTAGGGGTACGTGTGGAAATCTGTGGGATTTTTTTTTTTTTTTTTTTTTTTTTTTTGAGACGGAGCCTTCCTGTCGCCCAGGCTGGAGTTCAGTGCCGAGATCTCGGCTCTCTGTAATCTCCAGTCTTTAGGTTCATGTGATTCTCCTGCCTCAGCCTTCCGAGTAGTTGGGATTACAGGCACATGCCACCACACCCGGCTAATTTTTGTATTTTTAGTAGAGATGGGGTTTCACCATGTTGGCCAGGCTG